TGACATGCTTTCCTTGAAGGCAGCGTTGCATTGCCACAAACATAGCAGGGGCTTTGGAGTCAAAGATCTGGGCCCAAAACTCTGTACTTTGCTAGTGGAGCTTGGCCAAGTCACTCCACGCCTTTGAGCCTGCTACCTCTTCAAATGGGGTGACGATCGCCCACCTCATTGTTGTGTGGTTTTATGATGTAATGCTCCTTCTAAGCATAATTCTGGGCACATTCTAGTTGCTTAAAAAAAAAAAAGTCTGTCTCCTCATTTCTCCTTCCCATGATGCTCCAGGTCATTCTTACAGACATCAGTCACAGGGTGACACTTTGAGTAGGACTTTCTTTCCTGAAGTGCCCCCAAACCTGTGCTCTTCGATTTCTTGTGTCTGCTTTTCACAGATCCTGTACCCTCTTCCATAAACTGCCACTTCTCACTGTTGTCATTGCTCCATCCACTTTCCTACTGGTCATCAACTTCTAGGAAGTTTGTTGTTGTGTGTTGTACAGTCAATTCCAACTCATCTCAACCTTACAGGACAGTGTAGGACTGCCTGCGAGGACATCCTAGCTTGTAATCTTTATGGAAGTAGATGGCCAGGTCTTTGCTCCCACAGAGCTATGGGTGGATTTGGATTGCAAACTTTTCAGTTAGCTGTTGAGCACGTAACACCAAAGCTTCTTTTGTATGAATTTTTGTATGAATAGCTGTCCTAGCTGCTTCACATTAATTATTTTAATCTTCATAAAATCTTACCTACCTATAAGAAGTATCCACATTTTATTGCTAAAAAGTTGAGTCATAGGAAGATACAGTGGCTTCCTCTTCTTTCAGGGCATGCTGCTACAAATGGAGGAGTGAGGTTGACCTGGGCAACACTGGCTCCAAGGTTGTGCTCGTCACCACCCACTATAGCAACCCAAAACTGAAAACCATACCTAACAGTTTGTACAAAGTACAATTAATAGACTGAACACTGGAGATTTAGTCCTTTTACTGATATTTTCTTCCAGTCCAAATTTCAAAATGCAGCAGAGATAAGCAGGCAAATTGGGGTGTTAAGGGTTACTTTCCAAAGTAGATGAGACAAGGGAGAGGTACTAAATGAGAGGGTCGAGGATTCAAGGCAAGAAAGCCTAGTGGTTGCATCTTACCCTCTTTTAGGGTCTGTAGCTTTTAGATTGTTGTTGTTAAGTGCCTTGTTGAGTCGACTCTAACCCATGCAGGGGATGCCTGACACCTTACAGACCCTGTATAGGAGTCCTGATGTGGTGCTGTGGGTTAATGCACAGGATGCAAAGTCAATTTGAACAGCAAGGTTCGCAGTTCAAGCTCACCAGTCATTCCTCAGAAACCCTACACAGGGTCACTATGTGTCAAAACCAACTTGATGGCCCTTAACAACAACAAATATAGTTTCCAAGGAGCAGCTGCTGAGCTTGAATTGCTGACCTTGCAGTTCAAATGGCTTTGCAGTCTGGTGCATTAACCCACAGTGGCACACCAGGACTCCTAGATAGATATATGGCTTGATAAAAAGAATGGACAGTGTGGACCAGATTCTACTTCCGATATAATCTGATGTTCACATGATACAAACTATTGCTCTTATATCTTTTGGCCAATAGATCTCATTGTCAATCTGATAAAATACAGATTCCCCTTCCAGCAAAGTACCCATTTAAGTTTTTGTACACATTTTAAGGGATTCTAAGATCCATTCTTGGACAAGAAATTTGGAGATTTTATACAGAAGAGTAGTGGGTCTGAGGCCCAGAGACCAGGGTTTGAGTCTTGACTTTTCTACTGACATGCTGTGTGACAAGCCCCTTGGAGGTCCCCACCCCCCACCCCCCGTGCAGAAATGGAATAATCATCTTTGCTTTCCTCAGAGCAGTGGGCTGTGCTGAGAGTGTAAGGTGTGGCAAATTGCAAAGTGTTGTATTCATGTTTCAAGGACACCGAGGTTCAGAGAAGTTACTTACCAATGTTGTACAACCACCAAGTGGCAGAATCAAGATTCAAAATGGAATGCCCCCACCCCCCAGAAGTTTCTGGAGTTTGTTTCTATGTGCACATGAAGATCTCTTCCCTCCAAGAATCCTTAAACGGGTCACATGAGATAATGAACGTGAACGTGTTACGTGGGTTTAACAGTGCAATGCCTATGCCCCTGTTCCTCCTGGACTGGACTTAGGACTCTATGTCCCAGTTACCAGGACTGGGCTGCTGCAGGGCTGAGAGGGGCAGCAGAAGTGTGTCAACCAGTGATGAAGCCAAGGAAGAAAACTAAGACCCTCTCTCATGTCTGACTGAAAAACTTCAATGGTTTGGGGGAAATCTGCCAGAGCTCTGCAACCTTCTGTAAAGCCTATTTCACTGACCAGCACACAAAGTCAGCAAGCTTGGCTTCTGGCAGTACCAATTTTAATGGAACTGCAAACTTATTTTGTTTCTAATGTCATCAATAAGGTAAATTTCAATAAAGCAATATTCTATTCTTCCATATTAAAAAAAAAAAAAGATCCCTTAACAGGTGCTCTCATCCAACTCACATTTTGGATGCTTACTATTCAGAGACAAACACTTGTATGTTCCATAAAACTCGTGTAACTAGAGCATGGCCACAGTGCAAACTAGACAGCTCTGGAAAACTGTGCCTCTGAGGAGCAGAGGAAACTGCTACTTCAAAGCAACGTATTCCAACTGTACTGCTGAAAATCCAAGAACACAAAGGAGTGAACTGGAAGGGAGGACAACAAGGAGACCTGGAGCTTTCCTGTAAAGAGATGGTCATAAGAACATCAGACATATTATGAAGGACTCATTCACTTCATCTGGAGGCTGGGGTTGGGGTGGGGGTGAAGCCCAAGGAGTCCAAGGAAGAGCTTCAAAGGTCACTGCTATTTCTGTGGGGACAGCAAGTCACTTAATGCTTTCTTCAGGAACCTAACCGATACAGATCTTTTTAACATTGTGCTTGTATGAAGTAAAGCTGCTTTGGCATCCTGTTACGGAGCTCTCAGACCAGGCTGTCATGAGTCCATAGTGACACTTAGCTGACGCCTTTCTTTCATGATAGGATTTCATGGGGCTAAGCAGACCAGGTTGAGAAAGGCAAAAACCCTTCCAAGAGAGTGGTGGTTGAAAAGGGTGTGCCAACTCCAACACATTCAAATCATATTTAATAGCTTTTATGAAATTTGTTTCAGAGTAAAGACTGTATTTTGAAGATACAGAAGTAAAGGTGAGTGTGTGGGAATAACCCAATGAAGTCAAACCCAAATCAGATGGAACAGGTTAAACATAAACATGAATTCAGAACCCTTTCTGTAAACCCCCACCCATAGCCCTGCTGCTGCTCCTGAGTAGGGCCTGAGGTCAGGTTTTCAGCTTCTCAATGATAGCTGCACAAAAAGGTATCCCTGGGAAAAGCAGCCCTGGTGTCCTAGGGTATCTGTCACACTGGAAATGACTGTCCTGTGGAGTCACTAGATTAGGGAGGTAGAGGCAGGCTGTAGGGAAAGTACTCAGACGGAACCTCCCCCAAGAGTGGGTCTCTCTTCCTTTCAGCCTCTCTGGAGGGAGCTGTTGGACCAGAGAAGGCTATCCTCACACTAGTCAGTCAGGAACACATTTGTTCTAAAAGAGTCTTCGGTGGCGGTCTCTGGTTGGAACATTAGTGAAAAGACACACACTGGAATTATCCTGGCCAACGTCTATTTCTGGGTAAAGGGAAAGCAACCAGGTATGAGGCATGTTTTCTTCTGAGAAACATTTGTTTGGAGTGAAAAACCAGTACTTAGATTCTCTTTTGGATAACTATAAAATGTCAAAATCAGGATTTTAACCCCTAGGATATAGACCAGAGGGGGCATAAAAACAAATATGGAAGAACATTCCAAGACTCAAAGAAACCATTGGCTGTGGAGTTAAACCAGTGCACTCAGGAACTATACCCCAAACCTATAGATAAACAAAACCCCACATTTAGTAAATCAAACCTCACAATGTAATTAGGTTTTGGCAACACATATGGTCTGAGGTGAGACCCCAAGTTTGTTCTCTTAAGTATATGAAATCTGAATTTTCAGCCATAGAGTGAGACTCATTTTATTTGAGATGGGAACCTAATATCTAATATCAAAACACCAAAAGAGTGAAACAGTAGAGCTAGTCCCTTTGTATAACTGGGCTCAGAGTCCATGGGGTAGCTGATCAGATTTTGGTGACAGATAAGGTGCTTAACCCATCAAGGGACAAGATACAAAAGCATGATAGAGTCCACAGAGAAAAAAACAGAAGAGAATTGTGTTCAGTGCACACTGAGAGACCAACAACTTGGGAGCTGGTATCTATGAGGTTCTTACTGCCAAAATGCAAACCTAATAGCAGCTTCTTGCAGCTGGGCCAGATACTGAAGTCTTGGGATTGGTCATCTCTTCACACATTCAACGTTCACATTGTGTACTTGAGCAGTTCCCCACACTGCAAGGGGCCAGCAAAGACCTCCCAGATGGAAACTGGAGCTCCTGGACAGCAGCAGTCAACAATAGCTTGCATGTATGCCAAATGCGGTCCTCAAATCAAACCTTACCTCTTAGCAAAGAAGTCAGAAAGCACAAACAAAAAGGATACACCTTTTTCCTACAACGTTTAATCTCCATGCCGAGAGCGTCCCATTTGATTCTCCTACCCCTACCTATTAAATTTAGGCGACGAAGTAAAAATCCAGTCACGAAAATGAGAAGGTGGAGGTGTGAGAGCTCATTTTCAATGAGATGTATCAAATACACAGCATCTTGGTGTCACAGGACAGGCAGAACTGTCCAAGACACTGTGGGAAGAAGATGGGCACTGGAGACATAAAAATTCTGCTTACTCATCACTCACACTCGAAGAGCAGTGCATTAGTCATTGGATGAGGATGAGGCAAAAGGGCTAGGGAGAAGGTAGCAGATTCGTAACTCTCTGCCTGCCTGTGTAATGAGGATTGGAAACATATACTCATGGATGGGAAATTTTAAGTAGCTTTCTTTATTATTACTTTTGTTTCCAGCAATCTTGCAAGAGGCAGAAGTGTGACACTGAATTGAGTGAGACGAGCGTGTGTGGGGGTTGGCGAGGAGCCCTTCTCTTGATGCAGGCCTGTGACTTGTCACGGAATGGCTGCTTCTACTGCTGGGCGTTTACTCCTTTGCTTCAAGAAAAAGGGTTTCTTGAGGGAACAGCTTTACCTCTAGCAATGATTTATTTGGATCCAACTGGGTTACCTAGGAAGAAAGTAAAAAAAAAAAATTAAAAGTCTAGGAAAAGCACCATTTTCTCCATAAGGCATTCTGATTCCATCCATGTACATGGATTTTGAGTCCACTATGCAGTGACATGACATCCTCACATCTATTACCTTATTTGATCCTCATTATAACCCTGTGATATAGGTGGTATTATTTATTTATTCAAGTTAGGGACCCAGTGTTTGACTGTAGGCCATACAGGAGACCTGACCTTTTCCTAGGCAGGTATAGGCCCCTGGCCTCTTTCACTGGCCAGCAGAACAGAGGACTCCAAGGAAAGGGTGCTGGCTAAACAACTGCCTAGCATTCTTGGGATTCTCTGCTTGGTTAGCTCCTGATGGCAGAAGTGTATTTCTGTTTGGTGAGTATATTACTTTCCCAGAACCACTATAACAAAGTACCATAAACTGGGTGGCTTCAAACAACAGAAATGAATTGCCTCATAGGTCTGGAGGACAGAGTTCAAAATCAAGTTCAAAATTCACTTTCCAAGGGTTCTAAAGCAGGATCTGTTTCTCTTAGCTTCTGGTGTTGTACGATCTCTCTGGTGTTCGTTCCTTGGCTTGTAGACTCCAGTCTCCACCTCTGTTATCACATGGTGTTTTCCTTTTGTGTCTCCTCTTCTTAAAGGGACACCACTCATAATAAACTACGCCCACCCTAATGACCTCATGTTGACTTGATTACATCTGCAAAAATCTATTTCTAAATAAGATTATATTCACAGGTACTAAGGGTTAAGACATCAACGTACCTTTTTTTGGGACACAATTCATCCCATACTATTGAATCAAAAACTAAGTTTTTGGGGTTGAACTTCCTGCTAAATCTACATTTAGGAAACAGTAGAGTATGCACTTTACCATGTTCCAAAATGAAAATGTCCCCCAATGAAGGAGGGGAATAACGTTCCCTTGGGAGACATGTCACTTTCTCCTTGTTGAAGGTTTTATTTAGGTTGAAAAAATAATTGTTTCATAATGTGAACAATCGAGAATAAAACCCAAACCCACTGCCATCAGGTTGGCTCGGACTTAAAGCAACTGAGTATGGGATTTCCAAGACTGTAAATCTATAAATCTTTATGGGAGGCAGACAGCTTCATCTTTCTCCCAAGAAGCAGCTGGTAAGTTTGAATTGTGGACCTGTAGTTAGCAGACTAGTACTTGGCCTACAGTGCCTCTAGGACTCCTTATTGATAATAAAGCTAGGTGGAAATATTGGCTTGATAGGTTATGCTAATCATACAGGATTCCTACATTTGGCACTCTTGCAGATCAGGGGTCAGGGATGGTTTTCTGAATATGTGAGAGAAAGAAAGAAAAATTTCCAGTTTATCAAAAAGCATTCTGATTTTTCAAAAGTTGAGAAATATTGGTTTAGTGGAAAGGACATGGGGGCTTTGGAACCAGAAAGACTCTGGTTTAAATCACAGCTGTGTTGGCAATTAGCTTCGTGGCTTTGGAGTTAGTACCAACCTTCAGGATTGATGTATGCATTAAATGAGAAAATATATATAATTAGCACAGTATCTTGTACAGAGTGGGTTTTCAGTGATGGCTGCTATTTGTGTAAGTCACTGTAAGGATGAATGTTGTTGTTGTTGTTGTGAGGTGCCAATGAGTTGGTACTGACCTATAGGGACCCTATGCACAGCAGAAGGATGAATAGACACACGGTGCAATGGGGACCTTCAGTTGGGCCTGAGGCTGCTGCTCTGTTACATGGAGGACATCAGCACTTGAGGCAGGCAAGCTTGTCCTCTGCTCAACTCAAGCCACACCTAATGAGATGGCTCCACTGTCTTCTTCTACTAGTCAGGGAGGGCCCTAGGGGCCAAGGCCTTGGAGGCTGAGTGCCATAGGCAGGCTAGCAAGCTCAAGGAGGAACACTATCCTCCAACTGTATCCAGACGGTAACCCAGTTTGCCCAGGAGGATTATTAAGGGCCACATCCACCTACAGAATCTTCGCTGCTTATAAGGAACCCAGAGCAAAGCCTGCTATACTAGTATGTCTGGGGCTAAGGGGCAGATGGGCAGGCAAGATGGTGGGGAGCCTGCTTTGTATCTCCCAATGCACTGGGGGGACAAGCTGCTGGCAAATGTTTACCCACTTCCCCAATTAACACACAATACTGACCTAGCTCTGTAACAAATCGAACTATGCTGCCTCTGCTTCCGAATCACTGGCATTTTCTGTCCAGCTGCTTCTGCTATTGTTCTTAATTAACATGCCAGAGCTCTTCCGGCATATTCTACTTTGTTATTTGTGGTTTGTAAGTATGATGTTGCTGGTAAAAATGAAACCCTAATAGTGCCAGAGCTGTGGGTACTGGCAAGAAGACATGCGAGGAAGCAAACGAAGCTGGGAGGTGGGAGCACTGGGCCTGAGTTTCACCCTGCTGGGGTTGCAAACATGCAATATTAAAGGCTTGGAAAACCACACTACTTTTTACATGAGAAAATGGTGTCCAAGAAAAGTAAAATGGCTTGCCCAGTCACTTTAAGTGGGAGTGCTGGGACTTGGGAAGGAGGAAATTAAAATTTCCTGAAGACCAGGTGTAGTAGTTACATATCAGGCTGCGAATCGCAAGGTCAGCAGTTCGAAACTACCAGCTGGTCTGTGGAAGAAAGATGAGGCTTTCTGCTCCCGTAAAGATTTATAGCCTCGGATACCCTGTACATGGTTCACTATGAGTCGGAACCGACTCCATGGCACATAACCAACCAACCATCCCATTGTAACCCCTCACGAACAACCGTACAAAGTAGGTGGAGATGAAAAAATTGAGGCTTAAAGTGGTGAAGTCACTTTGTGAAGGCCACATGGTTAGGTTGGATCTATACAGCATAATGGTTAAAAAAGTGAGGCAAACCTAGATTCAAATTCAAGCTGTCATTTACTATCTATATGACCTTGAAGAAATGACATAACTTGAGAGTCTCAGTTTTCCCACCTGTAAAATGGAAATAATTAGTTTCTACTTTATGGGTAGTTGTGTTTATAAATGAAACGATGTTGGTAAAGTCCTGGGTACAATGCCTGAGTCAGAGTAAGAGCTTAGCAGGTAGGTGGTCGTCATTACTAGTTGGAGCACTCCTTTGGGAAAGATCTTGGTCTGTCCAACTTTAGAGCTGAAATTCCTTCCCTGAACCCCAGGTATGCTTCAGACTCTTTCCTTGTATCCACCCCAGTGCCCAGCAAGAGTGCTCCCTTTTCCCTTACTGGATAATGCCATGACATCCAGGACCCCTTTCTATAGTGTAATGGACTGCTCCAAAGCAAACATGGCTCTGCTAGCGCTGCTCCCTCCAGCGCCCTGGACCACAACCAATTGGTTTTCTCGGAACTTCCTAGGGAACAAGAACATTCTCTATTTCCATTCTACATTGTCTGGCTTAGACAAATGAACTGTTGGAGAGTCCAAGAAGATGCTTCTCCTCAACTGTAAAACGATCCTGTAGTACTCTGGGCCTTATTCAGGGAGGATACGGAAAATGATACAAAGGACCTCCTGGATGTTGTTGTAAGGAGCCTAAAAACCAAGTTTTCTGAATTGTACCTTCCCACCAAAATATGTGTTGGAATTATAACCCCTATATTTGTGGATGTGATTCTGTTTGCCATGATGGCTTTATTTGTTATGTTAATTAAGTCATAGCAGTATAGTGGTGGTGGTGGTGGTTGTGGGCCGCTGAGTTGGGGTTCTGACTCATAGCGATCCTTTATAGGGTTTCTGAGGCTGTAAATCTTTGTAGGAGAATTAAGTCTCATCTTTCTCCCATGGCAGCTAGTGGATTTGAATGGCTGACCTTGCAGTTAGCAGCCCAATGCTAACTCACTACACAACCATGGCTCCTTATATCAATATAGAGTGTGTCCTAAACCTAAAAAGAGCAAATTAGACACATGGGGACTCCTTAGCCTATAGACAGGGACAAAGCCACAGAGGGCTAGAGCGGAGAGTGAAATGTTCAGCTGATATGAAGGTGAAGCGAGATGCCAAAGAACACCCATACTTGCAGATAGTACCCATTTGACCTAGCTTCAATGGCTGGATGATCAGAACTTGACTAGAGGAGAAGAAGAGAAAAAAAAGTGTAATCTGTTACAATTGGATGAACTTGACCTATACGTATGGATGTAGTAGCTTAAAAGAGGGAAGGAATCATCACAGCAAGGATCATTCCCACCCCCTCTGTACATAAGGTTGACAAGGATGGGAAACTTAAGACATTGGCTACCCCAAATGGGGGTGGGGTGTGCAACAAAGGCGCAAAGTGACTGGCTTACAAGTTTTCAAGAGGGAGTTTAGTTTCAGAGGTTGTGGAGGGAGGTAGAATCTCCACTGAGTGGTTTTCAATCTGTCTAGACAGGGCTGTGAAAGGAGATGGGGATAAGACTCTTGTGGTTCAATAGTGAGTGATTGTTATCGTGACTAACTGCGATTGTTGCAAATGTAAAGGTAGATGTTTTGGAACAAAAAGAGGGGAGTGGTTGATTTTGCAGTCCAGGAACAGAGGACTCTGGGACCATCTAGGGAGAAGAGCAGGAGTGGAGCGTGGGACCCTATTCAGAGAAGCAGCGATGCCAGAGATGGAGGCAGAAACGATGACTTGGAGAGATGGAGTGGCTGGGGACTCTAGACTCAAGGAGGGAGAGGGGCTGTGTGCTGGTGGCCAGGGGGCAGGCTTGCAGGGTATATATATCCTTTAGTTGTTTGACTGATTATATATTCCTGAGTGTTTCAGTGCACATCCAAAAAAAAGACCACAGAGGGAATAGAAGCAAATACTGTTGACTGATGATGCACGGAAGACATTGTAATCATTACAATGAAATGAAATACGATAGGATGAGTATAAAGCTGACACTCAATTCACAATAAAAACTTAAAAAAAAAATAGTAAATTACACACAGAAACAGAAATAAGCACGCCTTGGGGAAGACATGTCATGTGAAGATCGTCAAGA